ACTAAGGACGAGCATGACGTGTGGGCAAGATATTGGCTATGAATGGAAAGGGGAACGGGTGTTTGATGTGAGCATGAAGATGATTGAGCAAGGTACTTTGCGGAAATAGCATGGCTTATAAAGATCCACGCTCAGCACTGGCATTGACACCAAACTTTCTATTCAGCGGTAACCCCAAGAGTGAAAGGCTTTCTTATGTTCTTATGAGGCTTCTCACATTCCTTTTCAGACAGCAACGGGTGAAATTCTGCACCTCAGATGAACACTTTACAGCGCGTCTAGCATGTCAAACACTGTTCAAGCTAAGAAGCGTCAGCGTACAAGAAATCTTCGCCCACTAAGCCTCTCTAATGGTTGCGGCGAAGTGCTAACCTAGAAGCTTTCAGTAGCCCGACTTCACTATCTACAAAACTACTCATCCATCTTTCTATACCTATCCTACTTATATTATTTGAAGCATGTAGATCAGCAGAGAATTAAATGACTGAGTGTGTCATGATTATGTTTGAGCAAAAGTTTTGGATGTGACGGTGATCGTAAGCTACTTGCTCGACGTCCTGCTACCTGATGTTAAAATTGACATCAGGACTCACATCCAGGAGAGCTTAATCAGAAGACGTGATTAGGCAACATGGTTAATTTGAATATGACAGGTTGCCGAGGAGTCGTAAGACTTGCGGCCATATTAACAAATATCCTCATACGATCCTAGGATGAGACTACCAAACGCAGACTAACATGGTTGCAGAACCTCCGTCTCCCTGGGATTCATCATTTTGCATTCTTGCGAGGCAGAGTTTCAGAACAGTTTCTTCTAACTTAGATTGAAGAGAAGTTTCACAGGCGACGGAGTTGCTGATCGACATCGTCATCATGACCTCAGTGGAGCAAGATGACTGGTCATTTATAACTCAAGGCTCTACACTACTACTAACACACATTCACTATGGTTTCATCTTGTTGAGAATAACACCAACAACCTGTCCTTAGGTCGCATTTCCGCATCTTTCGGAAAAAAACACGTTGGCAGATTTGGCGCAAGCACCTTTATATCTGCCAAGACTCCTGGCGCAGCTGCCCTGGCAATTTTCCACCACTGGCATCAATCCCCCTCATCCCACGATTGACCCCGCGTAGGTCATCACGCATCACGCCCTCGGGTCAAATCCGCCCGCAAGCGATCATCGAAATTGTTCTTGAACGCTGCCAAAGCCACCCTGCAGCCTTTCTAACTCTTCCTCTACCTCAATTCAGTTATTCTAACATCACGACAACAAAATGACACTTGCCGACCACGCACAAAAGCTCAACAGCACCCTCGAGCAAGCCAAACTCGTCCCCGGGTCCGCGGCGGGGCTCATCCCGGAAGGCTTCAAGCCCACGATCAAGCTTGGGGTGTCGTTTGCTGGCAAGGCCGTTGAGACGGGCAACTTCTTCCGCGCCGGGGAGTGCAAGCTCGCGCCCAGCGTCGCCTTCGAGGCTGAGGAGGGCGCTCCGTCGAACGCTTCCTACACGCTGTTCTTGACCGACCCGGACGCGCCAACACCGGACAACCCGCAGTTCGCCTTCTGGCGCCACTGGGTCCTCCCCGGACTGCAGCCGCTGAGCGGAGAAGCGGTCGTCGGGCAGACGAAACCGGCGTTGACGGAGTTCCTTGGACCCGGGCCGAAGGATGAGTAAGTGTTCACAGTCTTTGCCTTCGAGCAGGTTCCCTTCCCATTGGCTGGAATGAAGGCCGCTGACTCTATTTTGTGCACAGCTCGAAGCCCCACCGATACCTGTTCCTGCTCTACCGTGAGCCGGAGGGTCTTGACCTGAAGAAGGACGATGTTGGCGGAGAGGAGTTTGTGCAGAGGCGGTCATGGAAGCCGGCTGAGTTTGCTGAGAAGCACGGGTTGAAGCTTGTCGGAGTCAACTGGATGACTTGCGCTGGAGATGGCTGGACTGAGTAATTTTTAGAACTTGCAAGGTACAACAACAACAACGATAGACTTTAAATCAACCATTTAAGGAAAAGCCCAAGCTATTCGAACGAGATAAGAAACGTTAGAAGCGGTCAATAGTGAGAAATGAAGCGAAACAGAGGTATTGTCGGATGGCAATGGCTTCATGATGCTGCAAACTCTTATCTCCATCACGGTCCTATAGTCTAGTTGGTTAGGACGTCGGATTCTGACTATCATCAGATCCTTCCGTAGGCCCAGGTTCGAATCCTGGTAGGACCTTTTTGACGTCGCTGTTCGCCAGCCGTTCGTTATTTTTGTTAGTTCTAATTAATACCATCTCGTTAAGCTTCTACCAGCTCCTTGGCTTCATTTTGTCAGTTTATTATGATTTCTTTTCGTTGTGCTTAACTACCTCATTCGCGCGCTCTTTCGCGATGACCTGAACAAATTACAGTAAGCGGCACATCGAGACCAGGGTCTGAGGTCCCTGAGGCGATCTAAGTTCCAGCGGTCGACTGCTCGAATCGGCGCTAAAGGAGCACCTACCACATCCTCACTCAGCGCGCGTCTCCAACGACACCGAAAGCTAAAGGGCTACGACGCGTCTTGGTGTGACATTTTTCCAACACTGAAAATGCCATTTTCTTGAACACAGATCATGGAGCGTTTCGTCATTAGGCGACAAAGCTCGCTTGCGGCAGCCAAGAGGATCCTAGCCCAAGCAGACGACGAGCCTGATTTTGAACCAAAGAAAGCTGCGCCGAAGCCACGAGCGCGCCAGGTCGCTTCCAAACCGCGGGCGTCACCAGCAGCAGCGCGCAAGGACGCGTCTGAGGCGGACTTCACTCCGGAGGACGCCGAGCAGGACGAGGGCCACGAGGTCATTGAGCCACTACCCAAGCGGCGCAAAGTCGAAAGGCCAAAGAAAACGAGCAAATCTGACACGGCCAAGCTCTATTCCAAGCTCTTTGAGGCCCCAGGAGATGTTTGCAAAGACGCATGCACGCCTCCCTCCCGAACACACGCAGACTCATATCACCGCCCGCTGCTCCTCCACGGCCAACCAGGCAGGCGGGGACGCGATGCGCTGCTCGCATGGTTCGACTCGATCAGCACGACCCGCGGTATGCCGTGGCGCAAAGCGTGGATCGATCCGGCCTCCGTCGCGGACGCTGCCGAGCTCCGCACCGCGCTGGAGAAGCGCGCCTACGAGGTCTGGATCAGCGAGATCATGCTGCAGCAGACGCGCGTTGCGGTGGTGATCGACTACTGGAACAGGTGGATGGCGCGGTGGCCGACGATCCAGGACCTCGCGGCCGCGGAGCCGGAGGACGTGCTGAGCGCGTGGCGCGGGCTGGGGTACTACTCGCGCGCGACGCGGATCCACGAGGCGGCGAAGCTGGTTGTCGGGGACCCGGCGTGGAGGGGCCTGATGCCGGCGGACACGGCGGAGTTGGAGGCCAAGGTTCCTGGTGTGGGGAGGTACACGGCCGGCGCGATTTCGGCGATTGTGTTTGGGAGGGCGGCGCCGATGGTGGATGGGAACGTGTTGCGGGTGTTGAGCCGGCAGTTGGGTGTTTTTGGGAATGTGAAGACGGACAAGGCGACTATTGATCTCCTCTGGGCTGCAGCGGATGCGCTGGTCAAAGCCGTGGCGAGGGATGCGGTTGGTGATGACGGGAAGGACGAAGAGGAGGCGCCAGCGAGTGATCGGCCTGGACGATGGGGACAGGCGCTGATGGAGCTTGGGAGCACTGTTTGCACGCCGAAACCGAACTGCGGCGAGTGTCCTATCACGGCAACGTGTCGAGCCTACGCAGAGGGCCTCCTGCTCGCTGCCAAGTCGAAGAAACCCAAGGTGGAGGACATCGAGGACTTGTGCTCGATATGCGAGCCTTTCGAGGAAGACGGCGATGAAGGCTTTCTATCTGGTGAGGACTCTGATACTCCCCCGAAGAAGCCGACGAAGGGCGTCAAAGGGGCCAAATCTGCGGCGCCCGGGCCGAAGCAAGCCACTCTCGCCGCGTTCAAGTTCGTCTCCAAGAACGCCGAAAAGGACGACGCGTCCCCGAAGCAGCAACCGACCGTTGACGCGAAAGCTCTCGAGACCGTCGCCGACCACGCCAGGAAGTTCCCGCTCAAGGTCGTGAAGAAGGCGGTCCGCGAAGAAGAGACCCTCGTCTGCGCGATCCGGCGCGCCGATGGGCAGCTCCTGATCCACCGCCGCCTCGAGAAAGGCCTGCTCGCCGGACTGTGGGAGTTCCCCAGCCATACCCTCCCCGCTGCGACCAGCAACACGGCAGCGTCGCGGAAGAAGGATGCTCAAGCTTATGCGTCGGGGCTAATTGCCGGCGGTAAAAAGGTGAAGTTACGGCATGCGGGAGAGTTGGGCAGCGTGCCGTGGCTGTTCTCGCATCTCAAGTTGACCATGCATGTCCACCTGTTTGAGGCGGACGGGCCCGGAGACTGTGTGTCTTCGCATGCGCGGAGTAAATGGGCTTCTGTGCAAGAGGTCGAGGACGAGTCGATGGGCACGGGCATGCGGAAGTGTTGGGCGCTGGTGCGGGAGAGGGTGGAGGAGTAGACGAGCGGGTTGGATGAAGTAGAGGCTGATGTCCTGGATAATACCCGGCGTGTTCGTGTACCTATACGTCTAACATTGTAATAAGACTCTGACACCGCGGCTGAAGTCGTCAAACCAATGATCAAATCATTGACGGCTTACATCGATTGCTACTTACTCGTGCTGGACTACCAAATCCCATTTCACGCCGACTTGACACCCCCTAAGGTATGAAGCGGGCAGGTCGTCAAAGTTTGACGTCCATGGCAGTCACCGACCAACTGTTCATCCTCCGTTCCTGGGTCTCATAGCCCCGGCCGCGTTTCCTGGGGTCTCCGGAAGGGCCGGATGGGCCCCATCTTCTCACGATGGGGCCGGCTTGGTGTTGACGGTGGATACGCTTGCATCGTGCCCTCGACCCGCCCACAACTTGCACCGAATTCTTGACCATCTTGCCCTCGCGATTCTCACAACCGCAAATAAGCCTGCCCGGCTAGCTCAATCGGTAGAGCGTGAGACTCTTAATCTCAAGGTTGTGGGTTCGACCCGTAAGCGCCATCATCATCCCAAACCACCTACCAACATCATCACTAACACATCCCAGCCACGTCGGGCTCAATTCCCGTCAGCGATTGACTTCAAATCACATCTTTTTTGCTCTCCCTCCGACCTTATATAGTGTTAAACTTTTTGTTAGCCAGCGAGCATAAACCACGTTCTATAATTCCTCGTAAGCGTGGCCGATACAGCAGTTGCGACATGATGGTGAACGCGTCTCATGATCTCGTAACCCGTCCTTCCCCAAAACCAAGACTTTGGCCAAGAAGTTCTCGCCGTATTCCCATAGCCCCCAAACACCCCCTCTCTCAATTTGGGGAAATCCCCCTTGACCACCTGTTCACTTCATGATTTCCCCAAAAACTAAGCATCTTGGCGGGCCTTGGCATCGGCGGCCTACGAGCCTCCGTCTCCTGCACCACGGGATCCAACCCGCTTTTAGACGGCCGCGGAGCCGATCGACCGCGCATTGCGGCTAAATGCGATGCTTATCTTTATCTTGATGTAGGGTGACGGCGGTAACCACACCTGTAGAAGGGCCGGCTCGGCTTGCGTCAGGGGCCGGAGGATAGAGTTGACTAGGTCGTGTCTGATCTGCGCGGTGTGTTTGGGACGCCTCCTTTGAGGGGTTTGATGCCGACAGAGCGCTGTAAGACACGGTGTTCAACTTGAGAAGTTTCTTGTAGTACTGATGCCATCGCGTGATCGACGGCTGGGGACGGTTGAGGGCTCGTTCATAAGAGAGTGCCCAGGGTATTCCTTTGAAGTCTCAAAGTAGAAAAATGATTTTGTTCTCCAGGGTTCCTCTCTCTTCTTTGCCGCAATGACGTTGTTTGTTTCGTTCCTCTTGATTCTAGGAATCTGTCTGTCATGTGTATTGGCTCAATCGCCAAATCATCCTATCCACACAACTCGTCAGTGTGATTGGAACCCCGCGGGGCCACTGCATCTTTCGCTCCATCAGAAGACATGCTTCGTGCCGTATAATCCAGAAAAGAACTTCGGAAGCTCGGAGCTATCGGCGTGGACACATAGACCGGTGTGTACCAGCCCAAAGGCCAACTCCAGATATTGCGCCTTCGTCAAGGATGACTTCCACGGCGACTCCGCAGTCCTCATCCTCACATCCCCAGAGACGGCAGCCGGAGATCTCGGTTTGATCGAGGACTTCGATCCTCGGTGGCTCAGCCCGGGTTCTTCTTCTCTGCCGCCGCGAATTCCGCCCTACGAGGTCCAGAAGATACCCCGAAAAGAGCTGGGCGTCGTGGCCAACTCGACAATTCGCGCCGGGGAGGTCATCATGCGCGACTACCCGACCATCTTGCAGACCGTGTCGACAGAAGTGTGGGGGCAGATCGACCCGAGAGAGGCGCTGTGGGTTCTCGAGGAGGGCTTTGTGCGGCTGCCGAGGGAGGTTCAGATCAGAGTCTTTGAGCTCGCGAGGAGTACGGGCGGGCATGTGCTCGAGGATGTTCTTCACACAAACACCTTTGCGGCCTCATTCAACAATGTCAGCCACTATGGGTTATTCACAAACATCGCGGTAGGGAGAACCTTGTGTTTCTGGACAAAGGATGAATGGAAAGCTGACTAGAAAGCAGAGAATCAACCACGATTGTCGGCCAAAGTTGGTGGTCCCGCGGCACTAGGAGATTGTATGCTTACATGGTACAGCGCGGTGACTCGGTACTCTCCACGAACGCTCGCCTTGGAGGTAGTGGCGTACCGTGATATTCAGCCGGGGGAAGAGCTAAGTATCAGTTGTGAGACGCCATCCTCTGTGTACATCACCGGCACTCGCCAAGCTAACACCAATAACCAGACTCACCGCTCAATATGCTCTCCGCAGACCGTCAACGGACCCTGCAGGAGTGGGGATTCAACTGCACCTGTTCGCTCTGCAGCTCCGCCTCCGCCGTGGCCGTCTCGGACGCCCGCCGCGGACGGATGCAAGAGATCGTATCGGCGCTCAACAACAAAGTCTTCCGCTCGCCGCCGGCGCGCATGGCGGAGCTTGCGGAGGAACTGGACGGCATTTTGAAGGAAGAGGGGCTGTCGGCGCAGAAGGGCGACTTTTACGACATACTCGCCCGGGCTTATGTAGACATGGGCGAGGTCGAAACGGGCAGGAGGTATGCGCGGTTGGCGGTGGAGAAGCTGGTGCATTTTGCGGGGTACGACGACGAGAGGACGGAGAGGGCGAGGGGGCTTTTGGGGGAGTTGGGGAAAGTTGGGGGAGCGTAGGAGCAGCTTACACGGGGTATGGGGGAAACGGTGCGGTGTGTGACTGATCATGAACAAGGGCATGTTCGGGGTAATACAAGACGGAGGACTGTCACTACCCTTCTCGATGGTCTGCTACGAGTGGTATTGGCCCGGAGTAAAGGAACCCCGGGGAGGAGGACGGGGGTGAGGTTTCCTGATTCGGGGCGCCTCGCCTAACACCGACGGGATATATCTTTTTCGGGCAGTTCCAACATGGCATGGCGTTGGGGGAGGGAGTAAACCGTTTTTTTCTTGGGGGCGCTTAGTATTCTCCGACTCGCGCACACCTGCTCACGGCTATGCGGCACCGCTCCATGACCCAAGATGCTGGAACCGCGATTAGGTTCCGCGGGAAGGGGGTGTGACGCCCGTTGATCCTCCCGCAACATGCTTTTCCCCTGGGTTGTCAAAAATAAGAGCAACGTGTATCTGCTATGCGTTTCTCTGAGGGTTGGGGGAGTTGAGGCTCTGGCTGGAGCCGCGTCCATGTGGCGCCAAGAGGCTTGGAAGGGCTTGGAAGGGCTTGGACGACCGCTGCCAAGGCTGCCTTGGCATGCTTCTCTAAACGTCGTGCGGATCACCAGAAGATTCAGAGAAGAAAGCTGATGATGCAAAAAGACTTTTGTGGTAAACACAGGAGTATTCTGTTTGAGAAACAATCAAAGGCAAACGATTTCAGAACAAAGACGTCGAACTAGTTGACTGCGACACAATGTTGCCTTTTGCAAACAAGAACCTTGTTCTGCGTTCGATGCACGTCCCGTCAACACCACAGAAAGACATCACCACCAACACAATGTCTTTATCACGATGGTCCAAACCAACCTGCGCTCCAGTATTTAAATCGGCCCACGTCCGATGGCAAGTCCCCCTGCTCTCACCAAACCAGAACGCAACAACACGTCGCATCACATATCTCGGCTAACAATACGACGGCATAAACGAACCCGCGCTATTACTCACACCACTACCACAGCACAGACTTTCCGAATTTCCCCAGAAACCCCAGAGATCTTCGCTGCCATGTGCATCCAGTACATCATCTCCGCAATCTGCACCGCCGCCGCCTGCGGCGTGCCCCAGAAAGGCTGCCGGCGCGAACACGTGGTCGTGTCGCGGCGCGAGGTGTGCGGCGCCGCGCAGCCGGCACGGTGCATGTGCTTCTTCGGTTCGTGCGGGCGCATCGTCACGCACTTTGATGACAGCGACCTGGCGCACATCGCCGAGGCGCCGTGCGAGGCGTGCGACGAGCTGTTCGTGCGACCTGGCGCACATCGCCGAGGCGCCGTGCGAGGCGTGCGACGAGCTGTTCGTCGCGGAGCCGGAGGAGGTGCTGCTGCTCAAGATCTTCGACGCCGAGTTCGCGGAGATCTGGGCCGAGTTCTTTGGGCCGAAGCACGCTGAGCGGTGCACCGAGGGCAAGTGGCTGGGCAAGTATGATGCTGAGCAGTTGTTGTTTTACCTGGAGGACGAGGAGGAGACCTCTGTGGGCCGGGATGACGGCGACATTGTTATGGAGTTCTGGGAGGATGCGCTTGGCGCTGCTGGGGATGGTGAGTTTCATGCCATTGCGGGTGAGCCTGATGCGACTGAGTTTGAGGGATATGGTCTGGATGAACTGTTTGAATTTACAGAGTGTCGTGCGGAGGATATTCCTCTCCCATCGGATGACGAGGCTGTGATGTTGCCCTGCGATGAAGCACAGCACGAGGACACCCACAAGATTGAGATTCACGATGACCAGGCCCTGGAGGGTGAGAACTAGCAGAGACCTGGGCAGGGGGCAACTAGGTGAGTGTGCGCATACTGGGAGGAAACTCGAAAATTGATTGTGTCGGGCAAATTTGACTACGTAGACAGGACACGCAAAAATTGATGACCACGTAATACACACAAAACAGGATTCTCAAAGCGGGAGGGGGGGTTACACGACCCGAAGATCATCACTCGGGTTCGCGCTCTGGGTGGTAGCTCCGACGCCGGCGGATTGTTAGAAAACGCTGACAGCGCGCAATGAGCGATCTTTTGCAATTTTCAAGTAAACCCCGTGACCAACTGACTGGTAAAAGTCTTGGAAATCGTATGAGGTTCCAAATTGCATGCACTCAGAGACCTCCGCACGTTGGTCGGAATCGGTGGTAATTTACACGCCTGGGCCCGGGGTGGCTGGGTTTGCCTGGCATGGCAAGTATGGAGCAGCGGCAATCCGTGCTCTTTTTGCGCCTTTCGCCATGTGACGAGTGGGGGGTTTATTTCTTTGGCAGAAATTTCGCGTCAATTCCAAGGTGTCGTCGCGTGCGTGCGGTGTGTGTGAAGACAAAGTGTGGGTGGGAAAACGCCGAGCTCGCGCTGCGAGTTGAGCGCTTAGATATCCCCAGTCCAGTTTTTTACCCCGTAAAGTCCCCATTGAAGGAAGCTTCTCCGTGGGGACTTTGGGGTTGGGGAGCAGGCGAGCAGGAAAAGGGGACCTGGGGAGTTACTTTGGGGCAGAGAAAGGGTGCAATGAGACGGATGGCCGGATATCCTGGCCATTTGGATGGACGGATGGATCTCTCTGCCTGCGTACGAATCACCGGGCGTGCCACTGCGCAATCATCGATGTCCTGGTTGGCCGAGACGGCATGTAAGCTTAAACTACGGGGATTCATTCGCGCGAGATCCATCTTGCCTGGGAGGATTGAGGGGAAAGCTAGGCAAGCAGACTGGAGTTCGTGGAGCAGCAAAGAGATGGGGAG